ACCCGAAACTCTAAACCCTAAACCGACGATGTTGTTGCCACTCTGACGACGAAAGTTCTTAGCTGAATCGGGTTAGCAGTCCCCAGGGGTTTCGGGCTGTAGGTGGACGACCATAAATATAGAGTTAGGGTTTAAGGTTTGGGGTTTAGGGTATTTAAGTAGACAGCATTATGATCTCCATGCCTGCAAAGGGAAGAAAACAGGATCCAAGCCTGAACTATCACTGAATCATATTTCGAATATTCAAATTTTACAGGACAGCCAAACCTATCGACCTCGAACCCTAAACCCTAAACCATGAACCCTGAACCCTGAACCCTAAACCCTAAACCCTACACGAACTCTTAAGTTCCAGCTCCTTGTCGCAAGGGATCATGATGGCAAGCAGCACGGCACCCATCACCTTGGGAGTGCGCATATGTCAGCATGTTTGCAGAACTTTCCAGCTACAGATATGTGTGCTTCGTGTCTGTCAGTGCATATAAAATTGATACACACCTATAGAGAGAGAGAGAGAGAGGGTGATTGATTTTCAGGCCAACACATGGAACGGGGTTATCAAGCACTTGCGCCGGATTTATAAACAGGACAGGTCAAAATGCTCAGGTGCAAGGCGGATGGCTTTTCAGGCACATGGAGAGCTTTTTTTTTTTATTCGGACACGTGCAATGGACCCCTAAAGCCCTATACCCAACACCCTAAACACAACTTGCGCATGTGAATGATCATTCCCGAACTAGACAAATAAAGACACAGTAAGACAAAATTTGCCAAGTCGGTTTTTTATGCCTAAGATCTAAAAAGCCTTGATAAATTAAGCCCCGCTATTCTGGTGCGTTGGTACGTCATAAGGATAAATAGCCCTTTTGTCTCTAATAAGACTGGCCTGTATTCTCGAGCCATGGCGCAATGAAAACTCAATAGTGTTATGAAAAAATACAGCTCCCTATGTATATATATATATATATACATAGATATGTTATGTAGATACATTATGTATCCCTAGGGATCCGGGGACTCGAATAATGCGACTTCAGTGGAGTCCACCGCTCAAGCGTCCTCGGGCTGAGGCCTCCGCTAACAAGGGTTTGGGTATATATATATATATATATATACCTTTATGTCATTATTGGGTCTATTATTTATATATGTATATATATATATAATCCTGATATTGGTATTATTAAATGATATTATTAGTTATATATATAGCATAAAGAGACCCTTGAAGGGGTTTCGCAGCTTTTTGCTTTCGCTTCTTGCGAGCACCATCAGACAGCAACCTCGTGTACCATCGCAGCAGCACGGACCTTTCCAACGTGAGCTGGTGTGCAGTTCTTGCCAGCCGCTTCGCGAGTTGAATAGCAGCTTCCCCACGAAAATTATGAAATTTCCGGCAATTGGTTCTGTCTCGCACAGCATCAAGTAGCAGATGATGAAAAACGTGATGCTTCGGCCGTAACTGCCAAGCAAGGCGACGATCAGCAACTGCCAGCCTGGCAAGGCGAGAATACCCGGTTAAATGTCGAAGACCACAGTCTCGAAGCCCGATGGCTTCCGCCTCTGACAAATACCTGCCCGAAGTTTCTACCCGCCCATACCAGTCGTGAAGGTAGTACATAGTCGCTGCAGCGAGTTCCAATCTTTCGGTTTTCATCAAATCGGCCGCCGCACGGCACTCGAAAGCCAGCCAACTGGTGATGACACGGCTGTTGTGAGCCTGGCGTAGGGAGAAACTTATAACATAGCCTAAACCTTAAACCCTAAACCCTAAACCCTAAACCCTAAACCCTAAACCCTAAACCCTAAACCCTAAACCCTGAACCCTAAACCCTAAACCCTAAACCCTAAACTGAAGCCTATGAGTCTTAGGGGTTTCTCGGGGTTAGGGCCCATAGCCTTGGTCTGCAGGAAACAGAACTCCTCGCCCTTCGTAATAAGCATGTACGGTTTAAATGCCGATTGCGAAGTTTCAATGGCATTCGCTTTGCAGAAGGCTTTAAACTTCAAGAAGGCATCATTGAATCTTTCTGATTCGTTCTGCCCTGCGAGGTAGCCGTGTTGCAAGAGTTCGTGAATGCTGCCGCCGTTCGCGTGTAGCCCAATGCCCAACTGGACACAATGCATCGAGCACCATTTTATAAACTTGAAGTCGAATCCGATGGTGTACAAGAGTGCATTGCAGGGCCGTGAATCAGGGAGCTGCTGAGCAATAAACTGCTGGTGACTCCGTTCTGTTCCCAGCCAAGCCGGCGATACTGTGAAGTCCAGGAAGCTACACCCAGGATTGGTTTTTGAAGCTGAGCAAACATGGCATAGAGAATCAGCGAGCCAACTCGATGAGAAGCCGAAGCACTGAAAGTGCCACTTCCAATCGCCACGTACTTCCCACAGCCTGCAGCGAAAGCCCAAATCATCGCCCGGATTTGCTGATGGACTGCACCACGGCTCGCCATCGACACCATGGCTTGGTGTCTTGCCTATATAGCAGCAGTTCAGGGACCAACACAAAAACTCCCACACAGGAGCCAAGCAATCCATACCATCCATTCGCTCTGTTCGCAAACTGAAGACGGGGAAGCGGGTGCCCCAAACAGAAAGCTTCCGGTCATCGTACAAAGGGAAACCTGCTGGTTAGCTGCTGGCACAATAGAGCTTTATCTTTTTTAGGGTTCAGGGTTTAGGATTTAGGGCTTAGGGACTATAACACCCGAAGGCATAAAAACCACACTGAGCCCCTAAACCATAAGAGTACCAAGGCACTAATGTATATGACAAGAATCTTCTGCTTCGTCTGCGTATATTCGGCTTCGTCGCCGTAAAGACTGATTGGATGCACCGTGAAGCCGTCCTTGAAGTTCTTGCACTTATGAACACCAGCACTGCCGACAGCTGCATGGTGCTGCCAGAATGTTCTCGCATCGCCGTCGTGCAAAAGCAACTTCCCAGCTCGCAGCAACCAAGAAACCAGCTCGTGAGGTGCAATGATTGGCACGGGAGTAGGAGCAATCTTGCCATCTTTCCCCTTCAAAGGAATCTTGATCCGGTGCAGATGTGGTGCCTCCAGGGGTAAGTTGGGCTAACTTAAATATGTAGTTTATTTCGGCTTCATCTTCGGTTGGCCCGGCCTTGCCATCTAGGATCTCTTCAGAAGATCGTAAAATATCCCTTTGAATATTCGACTGGTGTTTGCCACCGGCACCAGCTCTAGCCAAGTGTCGCACTCCAGTGGGGGCTTGTGAGCCCAAATCCTCAGAACCGATTCGGGTTTTAATTTGGGGCTGGGTTCGAGGGCCTAGTGATGGTGAGTAGTTTGGTGTGTATCAACCTCAACCCTACACCCCGAGACCTTGCAAACTTCACGGCTTAGGCTCGTTCTGGGATTAATGCGGTTAGGTTTTAGCTCGGGGATGCCGGGGGTCCTGGGTCTGATTGGGTTTGCTTTAGGACTAAAACCTAATTAATATTATAAATAAATATTGCAAGTGGGACACACTCACCACCGCCTGAGCCACTTCCTGAGCAGCCGAGGAACTCCACTCCTCGGCCGCCGGCTGCGGCTGCTGTGCGATACATGTCTCTAGTCTGGTTAACATTTATAGGGGTTTGTGTTGAAGTTTCAGAGCAATTGGGTGGAGGGTTCAGGGCTGGGTTTTGCAGGTTTGAATGCTTTAGGGCTTTAGGGCTTTAGGGCTCTAGGGCTCTAGGGCTTTAGGGTCTTGGGGCTTTAGGGCTATAGGCTTTTAAGTGCTTCTTTGAAGGGTTCGGCGTGAGTATCCTTCGGGCCCCAATAATCTAGTCTGGTTAACATTTATAGGGGTTTGTGTTGAAGTTTCAGAGCAATTGGGTGGAGGGTTCACGGCTGGGTTTTGCAGGTTTGAATGCTTTAGGGTTTTAGGGCTTTAGGGCTCTAGGGCTTTAGGGTCTTGGGGCTTTAGGGCTATAGGCTTTTAAGTGCTTCTTTGAAGGGTTCGGCGTCAGTATCCTTCGGGCCCCAATAATGCAAAGCCAAGCTGCAGCGGCTGCCACTCCAGCAATCAATCTTTGTGCCAGCGAGCTGCCCACACCAGAGTCTGCGTGAGGGACTTGGGTTTGATTTGGTGATTCTTGAACTCTGGCAAGTGTTGCTCTTGATTCTTTTCAGCCAGCAAACTCGTGTGCACCGTGGTCCCCAAAATTATGATCCTGATCGGACTAGGATCAGCTAGAGTTCGAGGATTGTTGGCATTGAGACCGCACTGCAGCAGCGACTGTGAAGAGCAGCAGAGCATTCTTCAAAACATAACCGTTCACCCTTATTAAGGGCCCCTAATATATATATATATATATATATATACATTATATCAACCCTAAACCCTAACAAGCCCTAAACATATATATATATATATATAATGCCCTGAACCCTAAACCTGTAGGCTGCCCATCACCTAACGATGCAGTGTTATGTCTCTGCCACATCTAGGCTTCGATCTGCACTGCGACAGAGTGCCGATTCGTCCAAGCCACCCGGTAAAAATCTCCTAGAGTGTCCTAGGATTCACGGTTTCGGAACTTGCTTGGCCTTAGCCTTAGCAGCGGTAGCCTTTGGCTTCGCTTTGGTCTTGGGCTTGTTCAAGCTCATAGCTCGTTTGAGAGGAGCAACTTTGACATCGTAGCATTGAAAGGCAGCAGTGCATTCATCATTCAGCACCTGAAGGGCCTTCTCATCGGCCTTTCCTAGGTTTTGCTGAAGCTCAGTCAAAGCAGACTTCAGATGCTTAATCGGCTCATCCATGTCCTGCACCATGGCCTGGGCGTAGGTTGCCGTCCTGGGATGGGTTCGTCGCTGGGTTTAGGGTTTAGGTTTTAGGGTTTATCGGAAGCATTAGGGTTGAGGTTTTAGGGTTTATCGGAAAGCATTAGGGTTTTGGTTTGAGGGTTTATCGGAAAGCATTAGGGCTCAGGTTTTAGGGTTTATCGAAAAGCATTAGGGTTTAGGTTTTAGGGATTCTCGGAAAGCATTAGGGTTTAGGTTTTCGGGCTTATCGGAAAGCATTAGGGTTTAGGTTTTCGGGCTTACCGGAAAGCATAAGGTTTAGGTTGATGGGCTTATCGGAAAGCATTAGGGTTTAGGTTTTAGGGTTTGTCGGAAAGCAACATGACCCTGACAACTCAAGCCCTAGAGAGGCCCTTGGAAGCACGGGGCTTATAACTGAATAGGATTCTGTGGTTTAGGGTTTCGCTCTTATAATTAGTTCAGGTGGGAGGTCCGGAGATTGCCAAGTAGAGTTTCGGGCTGTTCGGCGATTTGGCAACTTTTCCGGGCTCTGGTTTGCGGCTTCATTAGAGTCCTTTTGCTAGCGGGCTTGTTAGGGGTTTAGGCTCGAAAACGGATATCCTAAACCGTACAAAGCTTCAAGCCCTAAATCATAACCCTTAACTCAAAACCCTGATATATGTATATATATATATATATGTATATATAATTATAATAATATATATATATATATAGCTAAAACACTATAGCTATATTTGTGCTACACACACACATGGCGAGATGCACATTGTTCTGGATCAGCTGCTGCAGAAGTGTGTCGGCATCGACAACCTTCAACACACCCTTTTGCACGTGGTCGCGGGCTTGGGTCATGATAGATTTCGCCTTGGGTTTCGGCTTCGGCTTCTGGTTATTCTCCCCATGTGTGGTGCCATTTGTCTCGCCCGGCTCACCGTTACCGCCCGATAGCATGGCACTCCTTAGGTTAAAAAAATGTATATAGCTTCGAAGCTTAAAGCAGGAGCCAAAGTATTTAGGGTTTAGGGAGTTTGGGGTTTAGAAGACGTAGAATCTATATGGCAAGAGACCCCACGTGAGCAGCAGCTTCACCCCGGAGAGTCACACCGCTCTCCCAGATTCGCTCCTCCTCGGAATCTTCCTCGTCCACTTCTTCTTTACCATCGAACACTCGATACATCTGCTGATCCTGGCAGAATGGTGTTTCAAAACTAATTAATAGTTTTGCATGCTAGCTACACTATATGTATATGGAACCCAGCCCCCCTATCCTCGAGCTTCGGCGTATCGGGGTGCAGCATCCAATGCCGGCCCGTGCAATTGGGATCCAACTCCATTTTATGGAGTTTTATGGCGGAGGCCGTGCCCTCGCCTCGCCTTAGTCGTATATAGCTAGCTAGCTATAATGCGGTCCGATCATGAACCCAATGCAGCACACAGGGTTTGGCGATTGCGGTCGAGGTGCTCCTTGACCAGGGCCTCGAAAGTTCGCCACACCCACTTGCCCCTCCGCCGTTTGGCGGTTTTGCTGCGGGCGTTGATCACCAAACTGGACTGATTCCAATCCTCCTGTGCACTCGTAAAGATTTCGAACAAGTGTCTGATTTGTCTGCGGCCCTTGGTCTTTGTCGTCCCGGGCACGAAAGCCTTTGCCAGCACTTCTGGCGGGCACATCGGATGTCCTCGGCTAAGAACATATTATATCCAATGGCAACAATTTAAAGAACCCCGGATTCGAAACCCGATTTGCTGTCAGGATCACACGAATCACACACACACACACACACACACATTACAACGGCACAGCAATAAAGTGATATGATATCATGATCAACCAGAACCCTAACCCCCAATCCCTTCTACGGTATAACTTATCCGTGTAGGTCAACCCTTTAGGGTTTCAGGGTTTAGGGTTTAGCTATAATATATATTATAATAAACGGATATAGCTATAGAATTTCGAAGAGAATAATATACTTAATGAGTGCGACCCCAAGCTCGTAGCGACCTGTAGTACCTCATCCAATCGGCATGGGCTTGCTTTCGCAATCTTTCTTTCTCGTCCTCTAGAGCCCTCTCCTCAGGGGTTAACTCGGGTTCCTCCTTGACAGCATCATCAGCATCGGGTGGAGCACCGTTTGCGTCGACTGGTCCGGTTGCTTCTGGGACTGGAGCACCGTTTGCTGCGACTGGCCCGGTTGCCTTTGGGATTGCCTGTGGGACTGGAGCACCGTCTGCTGCGACTGGGCCGGTTGCCTTTGGGATTGCCTCTGGGACTGGAGGAGCACCGTTTGCTGCGACTGGGCCGGTTGTCTTTGGGATTGTCTCTGGGACTGGAGCACCGTTTGCTGCGACTGGGCCGCTTGCCTTTGGGACTGCGGGGGATGGAGCACCGTTTGCTGCGACTGGGCCGGTTGGTTCTGGGATTGCTTGGGATGGAGCACCATTTGTTGCGACTGGCCCGGTTGCCTCTGGGACTGCTGGGGATGGAGCCGTTGGGGTCGGAACTGCGGCGGCCTGGCTGCTCATTTTGGCAAGTAGTGTCTGCAGCATCTCTTGTGTTGCATTCAGTTGTCGTTGGAGCTGAGCCACTCGATCATCATCTGCCTGCGAGCTTTCGCCAGCCTGTTGCTGGAGATTGACAGGTGCTGCTGCTTCTTCCTGCTGGGGCTTGTCTGCTGCTGGTGCTGCCTTTGCCGAAGAGTCGCTGGCTTCCTGCTGGGGTTTCTCTGCTGCTGGTGTTGCCTTTGCCGAAGAGTCGTTGGCTTCTTCCTGCTGGGGCTTGTCTGTCGGTGGTTCTGCCTTTGCCGAAGAGTCGTTGGTTTCAGGCGGGGGGTTGCTTGTCGGCGGTCCTGCCGTCGCCGAAGAGTCTTTGGTTTCAGGCTGCTGGGGCTCGTCTGCCGGCGGTGCATCAGAACCTGGCCCAGCATGTGGGATCGAGGAAGGGTCATCCATTTGGGTTGGCCCCACAGCGATATCATCACCGTATAAGTCACCTTCCAGTTCTTGAAGAAACTCGTCCTCCTCCTGAGCATCCAGCTGCATAGCATCATCCACATGCATTTCCTTTAAGCCTCCTCCATCAGACTCGTTATCGATTGTTTCCATTGCCTCATCCGAGGCAGCTTGTGGTGCTGCTGCCGTTGCTGCTGCCGTTGGCGTGGACTTCGGAGCTTGGGACACCGACAGCACCAAGCAGGGCACACCGCAATAGACAGCATCGGCCTGGACGGGTA